CAGAGGTGTCTTGGTATTTGCTATGAGAATGGGACAGGAGTGGAAAAGAATATCCAAAAAGCAGTTGAATTGTATCAAAAAGCTGCTGAACAAGGATATGCCATTGCACAATATAATCTTGGTGTTTGCTATGATAATGGGACAGGAGTAGAAAAAAATATCGAAAAAGCAGTTGAGTTGTATCAAAAAGCAGCTAAACAAGGATATGCTGCAGCACAGAATAATCTTGGTCTTTGCTATAAGAATGGGACAGGAGTGGAAAAGAATATTCAAAAAGCAGTTGAGCTGTATCAGAAAGCAGCTGGACAAGGATATGCTGCAGCACAGAATAATCTTGGTGTTTGCTATAAAAATGGGACAGGAGTGGAAAAGAATATTCAAAAAGCAGTTGAGCTGTATCAGAAAGCAGCTGAACAAGAATATGCCATAGCACAGTATAATCTTGGTGTTTGTTATAAGAATGGGACAGGAGTGGAAAAGAATATTCAAAAAGCAGTTGAGCTGTATCAGAAAGCATCTGAACAAGGGGATGCTGATGCACAATTTAATCTTGGTTTTTGCTACAAGAATGGGATAGGAGTGGAAAAGAATATTGAAAAAGCAGTTGAGCTGTATCAGAAAGCAGCTGAACAAGGATATGCCAGGGCACAGAATAATCTTGGTGTTTGCTATAAGAATGGGACAGGAGTGGAAAAGGATATCCAAAAAGCAGTTGAGCTGTATCAAAAAGCAGCTGAACAAGGATTTGCTGCAGCACAAAAGTGTCTTGGTGTTTGCTATGAGAATGGGACAGGAGTGGAAAAGGATATCCAAAAAGCAGTTGAGCTGTATCAGAAAGCAGCTAAACAAGGATATGCTGCAGCACAAAAGTGTCTTGGTGTTTGCTATGAGAATGGGATAGGAGTGGAAAAGGATATCCAAAAAGCAGTTGAGCTGTATCAAAAAGCAGCTAAACAAGGGGATGCTAATTCACAAAGAAAGCTCAACTTGCTCAGAAATGACTAATTTTTACAGATTAGAATTATTAAAATGTTTGAGAACAACATATTCTTGTATTTACTTTTTTGATGCCTTTGCATTTGCAGTATAGTAATAGACTGTTCCATAACTGCCAGATTTGGTTTCCCTAATTTTATCAAATTTACTATTTATTATTTTGTATAAAGTTGTCTAATAGTGCATGTAGACACAAAAGTACAATCTTCTGTAGATGAATTTTTATCCAAATATATTTGGAGTCAATATCTTTAGGTATAAGGTAATCAGATTATCAATAATTAGTTATTTGGAATGATTATGATGTGATGTTTGTAAAGTAAATGTACATTGAATATTTCATATTAGATATCACCATAAATAAATTAATTCACTTTTTGCTATGTTTTCTCTATATCAATGCAAGTCTTTTTTTTATCAAATTTTTAAACTACTCAAAGTTAATGTAGTTTCGGTATGACAAGTTTTAGTAGTCTCAATACATTATACCCACTTATGAATGTATTATTTGTTATTTGTTTAAGAATAAAATTTTCATCCAATTTTACGAGTTAACGCTTTAATTGTTTACATTGTTGTTTCATTGTTCAATTAAAATATACTGTAATACATATACAGAATAGCGAATAATTTGTTTGAGAAAATTTGTCATTAATAAATACTTGAGTCTAAGTCCCATTTCTTCAACGTTCCCAATTCTATAATTTCCAAACGAAAAATTTTCAACTATTAACATATATTCTGTTTTTACGGCACGGGTATTACCACGTTCTAATTGTATGCCTGAAACAGAATAATAGCTGCGGCGGGTGGAAACTTTAAAAGTGGAGATGATATCTGCATAAGCGATGATTGTGGCTTTATGGAAACATCGTTATCCGTCTTTGTTCTTGTCTTACGATTGCATTTACGCAGTTACTTACTGGCTATGGTAATGGTGACTACTGTATGATTGCGTCAATAGCATATGATATGCTAAGAAAAAAATTGACATGATGCGATCGTGAAAGCAAGCAAAGCCGGCTGCATGTGGAGTAATACGTGGTAATCTTTTCAATGCATTTAATTGATACTTAATGATATCAATGTTTGTAAGAGCGATTTCTTGTTGTAAACTTTGCAAATGAGAATCGACTATAGATGTAAACTGGTGTCCAAGATGTGTGATCAGTCCTGATATATATGAGCGAGTTTCTTCACGCATTGTTTGTAGTTCATTAGGAAACATAAAGAAGTTGGTCGCGATAGTTAGTAAAAGAACTCAATAGTTCTTGTTCTGATCTCCAAGATCTTACTTTTAATAGCTGATAGTAGTAATATGTCTCTCCATCATTTAATTTTGTCAAACGAGTGCGTGTTAATACTGGCCGTTTAACTATTATTCTGCCATCAAGATCCCTTATTACTGGGTTTGTGGAAGTGTGACTTGGAGTACGTATTTCATAAAACTGATAGTACTCTTCATATTTGAGATTATCAAATTCTTGTCCATATGGCTGTCAAAAGTATTTTCAATTGTGTCTATATAGTAAGGGTTTTCGGGATTTTGTAATAAACTTTCAACAGGCAGTAATGCTTTTGATCGAATATTGGGAGGATCTGTCTGTAAGAAATTTACAGTAGCAGAAGAATTGCAAATTGTTTCTCCTGATATCAGAAATACAACTTCCATAGCGCCCAATCTTCTACCAAGAACATGACGATAATATCGATTGTTTTCACTAATATTGAAAACGTGACTTGGTTCAGCCTTAGATATATATTTTGTCATATATCTAGCAAACCCTTATAATCTCTTTTTCAGTGAACGATAGCGTTGTATGAAATACATACGTACATGAAACGGACGATTAATAGGGAGAGTGTCGCCATTATCAGTATTGCGTAGTATTTCAGTAAGATGGATCCATTTACTTTCAGCCATGGATAGAATGGTAAACCCTTTAATCCCATTTGACCAGTAAGCAATCGATATTCGAAAAAAGGATTTGTACCAGCAGAACGGCCTAGACTGGTATGTAGATAGATGGGAGAAAGATATTTTCTTTTTGGCATATGGTACATCGTATCGTGAATACATTGAGGTATTGGAGTAAGTGTAAGACATGTTTTGTTATTAGAATCCATCGCGTGGGTTAACAGTAAGGCTTATTTCTGGTAAAGACATTTCTAATGGATATGTAACATCGTCGTTTCGGGTTACCCACTTTACAAATTGTGGGTATAGTAAACGTGAACAGTAGGAGCAGGGAACACATGGAAATTTTTTTCGTAAAGTAAACGTAGTATTTTTTTTTTTTTTAATTCATTGGATAAGCCTGGGTAATTGGCATCTCAGACGGGGAAGACAAAGAAGGAAATGTGGAGTGATTGCCATTATTAGTATATATAACAATTCAATGACAACTTCATTGTTTTCGAGAGTATCAGGGGTGATATATCGATGACTTGAGACATTTTTTTAGTTTATTGAGTATCGCTATATAAATGCTAACTATGGCGGTACAATTTTCTCGTACAACCATTATCATTATCACACAGGATGTGTGCATGCATGGCTGATTGTTGTTATCTATTTCTTTAAATTGCTAGGATGCTTGTATAATGGAATAACCATTATTTACAGGGTGATGTGCAACGAAGGCATGATTATTAATTGAATTTTTTAAGCTTTTTATAAATTATTATTTTTGCTTTAGTAGAAGTTGACAATATTAATATGACTAAGATTAATCAATAAATGCGGTATTTTTTTTCGTGTAACAGGGAGGCATGCATGTTTGATTGTCGTTAGGAGTCATGTAGCTAAAATCTTGTGATATGCTGCATTGTAAGACGAATTTTTAAAGTATTCGATTATAAAAGCACCTTCTCGTCCGTGGGCGGTGGGTTGGGCTATGTATAGTATATAAAATCCAGCGCGAAAATCTACACGAAAATTTACGATAAACGGGCGGGTATTTGAAGGTTAGTGCGAAAATTGAATAAGGAAAAACCGATTTTACGAACGAATAAGCATCAAAAGGGGTTAGTTCTATGCAGGGTGATAGCGTTGGAATTCACCTTATGCTAAAAATAAATTAGGTGCAGAATTATTTGATTCGTTTTCTTACTTAATCGAAATCAAAATATTTGTGTGACATTACATAACGAACTGTGCAGAATTATTTGTCAAATTGGTTCGTTTTTCTTACGAAGAAGCAATCAGAATGTTTCTTGTTTGCTTGTGACGTTTATACATGCTACTTTATATGCTGCATTTCCAATATAAAATGCCCGTTCGTTTCCCGTATTCCATCTTTCTCTCTTTCTTTTACATTCATCCTTACATTCCATTCTTTTATCAGCAATGAATCTCCAAACTTCTAACCTATTCCTCTTAATTGTTCTTTCGTGTTTGCTGACATTTACTATTATTGTTGATGGTTCTAAAGATAAGCATACTACTACGATTACTGAAACAGGATCTTCTACAGCAACTGTCACAATAACCTGCTCTTCTGGATCCGCACCCACTGGAATTAGTTGCAATGTTCAAAATAATCTGCGCCGCAAACAACCTAAATTCACAGAAACTGTCACTTGTACACCTACAACTACTATATGTGCTGTACAAACTCCGCCATGCTGTCAAGGACCTGGTACTGCAGGGTGGCAAGGCAAATTTCATTTAATAGTAGGCAAGGAAGAAGACATATTTGAAATTAATGGTATTACTAGTCCCCAAGCATGTTGTGAAAGCTGTCTTGCTGACCCGGATTGCCTTCAGTGGCTTTTTACAGACTCATGTATAAATTATAAAAACATCGCTAGTGGAGACCTTTGTTTGAGTTCTTTGGTGGATACATTTAGTAATACTGGAACTATTCGTTGTAGTGGCGATAGTTTAAATTGTCTTCCACAATAAACCAATAGAATTTATTAATAGCAAGTTTAGACTAGAAGTTCATTCGTTAGCCACTTTCAGCAGGTGGAGCAGCAGGATGTGTAAGGAAATACAGAACCCTCTCTGATATCAACCCCACAGGACCGGCCAATTTCGTTGATATATGCGGGGTTGGGTGTTAGGGTTTTAAATAACGACGTCATATGTAATGATATTATATGATACTTACAGTATGTCTCGAATTAAATCTTAAACTTTATTATGATAAAAATCTCTTTATTTCTTTCTCCATATAAACTAAACCAATTTGTTCAACTCTTATGAATTGTGGTTCTCTCTCTCTTTGATGAAAAATCTGTTAACTTTTTTTTACCTCACCTCGTATATATTCTATTGAAGCGTCGCAACAGACTTTGCAATCTTGGCATGTCTTGCTCTTCTATGAATATGGCAGGGTCTTGCTGGTCTACATACTGCAGAAGTAATTTACATTGTTCCAATGCCGTAGAATGAGAAAATTTTTCGATTTCAATGTCGCTGCCATCATTACAACTATCAGAATTAGACATGTTGAGTATCTCTTCTATAATTTCTTCTTCATCGAAATGAATATAATTGTTAGCCGTCATTATTTGCATGCTATTAGCAGGAAAGTCAGAAACTAGTTGTTCAATATCAGTTACTCGTTATATTCTTGTACGTCTGAATTTTGTCAATTCCACTCGGTTAATGGTACTATTTCGGTTTTTCGCCAGCAATTGACAATAGTGAGAGGTTACGTTTCTCCAGGCTTCCGAACAAAGACTAATTGCTTTTTTCTGTTGAGGCGAGGTATTTCTTTTTCAGAGTCGATGGCTTCAATACTGTTTGAAAATACAACTTTCGATAGCGAACTTTGAAAGAGTTAATTATTCCGGTATCACATGTTTGTAAATAAGGGGGTGATATTCGGAGGCAAAAAATAAACTTTTACATAATCCAATTCTTCGCTAACAACGTGAGAACAACCAAGACTAGGATTTTTCTATGCTTGAGGTGATTCAACGATTTTATCCAACGACTGAAAATATCCATACTTTTTTGTTCGCTTCATATTTGGCACCGAGATCTTCCTTTGAAACATCGAAGATTTGCTGACTTCGATAACTAATGGTTTAAGTTTATCTGTACCAGTTGCATTTGTACAAAGTAGTACAGTAATTCGCTCCTTATCCCTTATACTGGCTTGGTTGCGAGTGTCTGATTGGGTGTCATTTAGACATTCTCTGGCTGATACTGCGAAAATAGCTCGATTAATTGCTGTCTTTGTTCAGGAAGGTCTTCAACTAGCACACTTTCTGATCTTATCAGCAAAAGACGAATAAATCTGCAATTTTATCATAGGTCTTGAATGCAATAACATGTTAATTATGTAGTTATGTCACCAATTAATCACTTTACACATATGCAATTTAAGAATAAGAACGGATTGTGTCAATATTTTCGGAACGGCTTAATGCTTGCAAGGAAGAAGCAAAGGACTGCTAAAAGAGATGAAGACATCTGTCAAGACTAAGTTGAAGAAAAACTATCGCAGCAAGAACTTTTTTTATGGCCTACATACTTGACTTACATTGACATCTGCAAAGGTATTGGTTATATAAGGTAAACAAAGACTACTGGGTCGATTTGTAGACACTAAATTCGGAAGCCCGTAGGTTAGGTCTATTTGTATCTATCTAAAACGCTTTCTTACATTTGCCACCAGGATATTCAAAGAACAAGTATCAAATATCCTTGATTCAATTATAAATTGTACATTTCAGAGTATGAAAGAGATATTAATGTTAGCTATGTGATTATGAACAAGAACATGTGAACGTGATGGAAAGTTGAGCGCTTGCGCGTCTATAATTAGCATCTATTATTATAGTGTTACCCTGCAAAACTAAGGTCGCTCTCAACAGCTCATCTCCCCAAGCAAATTAGGCAAACGTGTATACAAAAAAAGAAATCAGATGGAATTAGTGAAGGGGAGATGTAGTATCCATCCCCCTACTGAAAGGGAGATACCAAATTTGGCTGATTTACATTAATGATACCGATTTAAGGCATTTTCATATGCCATTAATATTAATCTCATGATAATAATAATAACATAGTAATAATAAAGTCCTTGTTATAAGAAACTATTGGAGTTATGTCAATTTTCAAAAATGGAAATGGTCAAATCTAACTGCTGAGAGGTCGTTTTTCTTTCCATTTCAGGAAGGGGAGATGAACAACCTAAATTTGTGATACGTGATCCCGATATAGTAATAGTAATAAGCAGTAAAATCCTCGTGAATCCATTGGAGTTGCAACATGTATTAAATGGCTCAAAAACCAAACAATAATTACAGCCAACATGACTTTGCTCAAAGTAAAAGCAGCTGAACAAGGCAATCCTAATACACAATGTAATCTTGGTGTGTGTTATCAGTATGGAACTAGAGTAGAAAAAGATGAACAAAAGGCAGTTGAATTGTATCAAAAAGCAACTGAACAAGGAAGTGCCGGGGCACAATGTAATCTTGGTTTCTGTTATGACAAGGGAATTGGAGTAGAAAAAGATCAGAAAAAGGCAGTTGAATGGTATAAAAAAGCAGCTAAGCAAAAGGATGCTTATGCACAATACAACTTTGGTTTTTGTTATCAGTATGGAATTGGTGTAGAGCAAGATGATAAAAAAGCAATTGATTTATATGAAAAGGCAGCTGAACAAGGATTGGGTGCAGCTCGAAATCAGATTTACAATATTTGTTTCTCCAATGATAAAATCTTAAAAGAGAAAAAAATACAAAAAGTGACAGAATTTTATCACAAAAAGAATCAATTGTAAAAGGTTTTATAGAATTCAAGCTTTGACTTAATGTTTTCTTTTACTTTTGTTAATACTTTTTAGTATTGAATAGAAATTATTAGCAGCAATTAAAAGTGAAGAAAAAAATACAAGTAAATTAGCAGGAAAAATCATTTGTTCATCAAAAATAAACTTGCCGATTTAAAGGCTGCTGGATGTTATAATGGTTCAGAATATTATTATTATGTTATGACAAGGTTATCTGACAATTAGATGAGCAAGTCACATGGTAAAATTTTCCCCTGACATCAAGCTAATACTAACTTATGTCAAACTAATTTAAATTGGTGCTACCATAGAAAAATTCTACCTTTGCCATAATTGAAAAATCTGACATATGTCATGCGCATAATAGTGATGTTTTCTTCACGAATAATGGGTACTCAAACCGTTTATAGGTTTTCGCCTACTTTACATCCATCAAATTAATAATACCAACATATATTTAATTCTATAATTAGATCATTAATAGACAACTATTTAGTGAATAGAAGCTGTATAACGGTAGTATTTTCGCTAGTTAACATTATCTTCAGCTCATCATTGGATTCACATTCTTTGAATCCAAGCATTCCTTCCGAATACTTGTACTATTAGTTTAGCTTTCATATTCATATAATAAAATAATATACTTACTGGACCTTAAAATATGATTGTTAATAAACGCGTTTTACTTTGGAATCTTACCGATTGCATACTTCACAGTCGGAATCATAACTTAAACTGCTTCTATGTTATAATTATTCCCCGACTATCGATATTAATCCCATCGATAGAGGGTAAAGTTATAACTAGTGTAGTTAACAATCGAGAATCTGCATATACGAGATCGAACGTACGAATTAAACCCAATTTAAGATCACTAACCGTATTGACAATTTAAGCAAGAGTAGAGGCCTCGATCAAAAGAGCTGCCAATTACTAAACGCTTCCCGCAGTAATTGGCTCGACACATGCATATGTTTTCCATACTTAGATTTCCCCCTTAAACCTGATATAGGCGTAGCGAGAACGCGTGGAAAATGTCTACTGCAAATAGTTATGAATACAAGTTAATCTCGTCATCAATCATCGTGAATTTCAGGTTCATTAGATAGTTACAATTTTATGATAATAAAAATTTTCTTAAAATTTAAATTACGTTTACTTCTAAGAGTTGATATGATTTAGACTATCGAATAGAACGGAAAGTTCGAAAGATATCGGTGCGTAATTATGCGGATATTGGAAAGCGTCATAATTTAGACCCATAAATTCCACCGTTTTGTCAAGTTGTGCTTCTCCTTTCCGTAAGTCAATTGCTTCAGCTATTGTCCGTTTGCCTAAAGGCCATCAACTTTTTCGCAATTAATGATGTTTTGTTACTATAATGGGAACCATAAGTATTTGACATTAAATTAATGGTAATGATAATCAATGCGCAATTGTTATTTTAAAGCGGGTAAATTATACCAGAATATTGCGATTATGCAGTGATCGAGTATTTTATTAACGGAAAATCCACCCGCGAAATATTTTTACCAAAGTAAAGATACAGGCTACAAACTTTTTGGTGCTTTTTTATTGTTATAATCTCCATAATTGTAATTACGGGTACACTCAAATTTGGATTGAAATGCCAAATTAATTAGCCCTTGGCACGCTTATCGGTTTAATGGAGGCCTGCCAACTGTCAACTAGGTTTAGATATCGTTAACGGATTGAGATATATTCATAAAGCAGGAATCTTGCATAAAGATTTAGTAAGTGTATTACTTACTAATGATTTTATTTAACGCAGATTACATATTGACATATTGCTATCTATGTTATTATAAGTCTTCGAACAATGTATTAATTCATGGAAAAACGGCTAAGATCACAGATTTTGGGACACCTGAAAAATTATTACTACAAAAGATCACCGGGGAACTCTTGCATACCTCGATCCTAAATGTTTTGATGGCAATAATAGTAACGAGATAAAAAATCTGATATTTTTAGTTTTGGATTCTTCTATGGGAAATATTCAGTAGAGAATATCCATGTAGTGAATTCAATAGAATATAAGACGTTCAGCTTTACAGAATGAATGGTATTCAGTCTACAGACTATACTGTGATACAATAGTATCCCTTATCCAGAAGTCAAGAAATATCTT